TGGCCCATTTTTATTGAGCAGTAAATTTTATTTCCAAATAAAAATGTAATATTTCAAGAATTTTACTTTCAGCAAGCTGTATTACATTGAGAAATTATGGACCAGAAAGAATTTTGAAAGAAGTGATCAATGTTTTGTGCCAAAGAGAAAAGAACACATGCAACCATCTCTGTAACGATACCAGTATTTGCTTTACACTATTTAATTATTTTGAAAACATGTATTTGCAATGGGTTTCATTACCAGTTACATTAATCATCACATGTGTCAATTCCTTTGGAAAGTAATGACTTAGCTTGAGAACCCTTTATTGTGCACAATGCAATATTTGAATTTCCAAAACAGAAAGTGACTCCAACTTGGACACTGTCTGGCCAATGGAGATATTCTCAAAACTGTGGGTCATTCATTTGTCACTGAGCCAAACTTGCCAGTCTAGATTTCCTACACACACACACACACACACACACACACACACACACACACACAAAGGCAACCAGATAATTTTGCCGCCCATTGAAAAGCAGGATTGCTTTTGTTCTGTTTTGAAGAGCCAACGCAGAGTGAGGGTCATTTCCCATCAGGTATTATTTAGTAATTGAACCTTTCAATGAAAGGCTGACATAATGTTACCGTTCTAATTCTCTGCCATTAATTTAACTCTAACTCAACTATTTTTGGCTTGTATAATGTAAATACTTTTTTCTATCCTTTGATTAAATATTGCCTCATAATTTTTCTTAAAAACCTATTTGTGGACAAGATTATGAATATGTCTTGGGTGCCCTGTCATCCATAGTTCACAGGGGAGTTTTTGTTGGCCTACTACGTTTTTCTCAATTCCCTAATTAGCCTGCTCAGTCCATGGGGTGCAGATGGAGTTGATTCCATCCTTTTAGTCTACAGGGTTGTCATATAAGCCAAATATGGCCACCATGAGGACCTCAGCCCCCTGATCATAGAGATTTGTTCAGGAGTATGTGGCTCAAGCTGGGCTACCTAGAGTCCGTCCTGGAAAGGGTCTTTTATTTTCCCTGTGAAAGTGGCCGTCTGCCCCCTGAAATAGACCCAGCACATCTGAAACATTTGTTCACTTCTCAGCACCACATTTTAAGGGGAGATTAGCCAAACTGAAACATTCCTAGAAGAAAGCAAACCAGATGATAAAAGGAACCTCAGTCATATTGAGGATAAATGATCCAGTAGTACCAGATATGTTTAAACTGTATGTCAAAATAATTCTTTTTAAAAAAAGATGATTTGGGAAACCCGTTTTCAAGTAAGTCAAAGGCAGTTATTTATTCAACTAGTAAATATGAGGGCCAACCACATACCAGTCCTAGACATTGGAACTATGGCGGGAGACGATGCGGACAAAAGGCTGTGTCCTCATGGAGCTAATGTTCTAGTTTAGAGTGATGTCTTCTCCTTCATGTGATCCTTAAGGTCAGAATGTAGCTGACCTTTATAATTAGCAGCTGTAGAATCTGTGTGTGTTATATGGAGATATATTTTGGTGATTAATTTTAGAACATGGAAAGTACAATAGAAATGTCTGAAAAGCAAAAAGGTTGGCACCTGTGGAAGGAGTCCAGTTGGGGTGGCCATTGTACAGGGGATTCAGACTGCCGTGATTGAAAACAGTAATAGGAAGGAGATTGGTGAGTGACCCAGCCTAGGGATCTCTGGAGTCCTTTACAAAACGGAACACCCGATATTAGAGTATTAAATAATAGCAGTGCTCACATAGTTGGGGCATTTACTCTGTGCCATATACTTTGCTAAGTGTTTTATTAATGCATTACCTCACATAAGGCTTAGAACACTCATTATGCAGATGAGGAAAATGAAATAGTATCAAACTATAATTTTTAAAACTTAAAAGCATCACTCCTACAAATGTAAAATGAAAATATGGGAAAGATTAGATTTGACTCATTCATTGATGAGGGAATCGGGATGATGGTAAGACTGGTTCCAGTAGCATTCGGGGGGCTCCTTGTTTTAGGTGCATATTTAAAGGAATGTAAGCCAAAGATTGCTAGATTAGATACAAAACCAGATAATGTCTTATAGGACGATAGACCATCACATGTGGGATAAATTTTTTCTACTGGAGAGAAATCATTTGTATCTTTAACAGGCAAAAGTCTCTAAGGTAACATGTAAATTGACTACATTTAGGACCTTTATTTAGTAGTGAGCAGTGAATTGAACAAAGCCCATTTCCCTTAAGCAATTATTTTTTTTTTAAGATTTTATTGGGGAATTGGAGGAGGGGAACAGACAAGTTGCTGTCCTTTTGTTCTTCAGTCTAGTTGCGGAGGACATTGCTTCACTGGCTCATGTTGGTATTATCATTGCTCTTCCCAGGTGAGGCAGTCACTTGCCGGCCATTGGATGGCTACTCACGGTGGCTCACGGCAGCTCACGAAAGCTCACGCTCGCTGCTGGCCAGCCCCACTGCAGCCTAAGCTATCACCGGCGACTCACGGCAGCCCAGCTCCAGGTCGAGCTGTTGTTCACCATCTTAGCTGTAGAGGGCGCAGCATACTGGCCCTCATATGGGATCTGGACTGGGGCCCTGCTGCTCAGAGCTGGCGTCCCAAGCCAACTCCTAACCAATCAGTGCACCACTCTGCCGGCCCCCCGCTTAAGCAATTCTTGAGAGGGCATGTTAAACAGTCACCACATAGACCTTTGAAAGGACATGACAACCTTTTGGTCTTCTTTTCAAGTTTTCTTGACATTAGAAGTTAGGTAACTTTTCACGATTTTCTAGCTGGAAGTACTGAAGCTGGGTCTCAAACTGAGGTATCTCTCTTAAATACCCACAATGGATGAGCTATGTGGCAAGGATTTGGGGGAACACAGGGACAGCGTCTTTTAGATCACATCACTATTGTATGCCTTCATATAAGTCTGAGCTTGGTCTTCGAGTTTTATGTTAGTCAGTTTGCTTGTTTGTTTAATTACTAAAATACTTCTAAACCACTCAAAATGAACTATTCCTCCTCTTTCGCTTCCCTCAAAGCAGCCGGGACACCTAACGTGACTCATAAGTAGTGGGTGGGCCTTTAACCAGCTGCTACTATAGGCTCAAAGACAAAGGCCCCAGACCCCAGATAGAAATCTGATTCTTTAGCATCTGGAGCAGCTGTTTTCTCGGTAAGATTTCTTCCCCAGCTTATGCGATTTTGTAGTTGTTGCTGTTAATTTAGGAGATTGCAGTCACCAAACTGTGGGAATTGCAATTGTTGATGGTCTCCTGTTTTTAGAATGATAATCTTGAGTTCTTCAAGTTTGGAGAGAAAGTCCCATGGTACTTTGTTCAGCCTCAGTTAATTCCCTGCAGGTTTGGTGTCACTGTGAACTCATCTTGAGGAAAGACTTCAGTGTTACGTTTAGGGAATAAATGAAAAGTAGCTGTGTGGTTTCCGTAATGTTCCACTAAGTCATTCGGAAGCTTGCCTGTGATTGAGGTGATAGGTCCCTATTATGTTAAGGTGGCAGAAAACCTAACTAGCCCATCAAATAGTTTATTCTAGAAACTGAAACTAGATAGGAGAATACAGTTTTACTTTCAGGTAAGAGGAAGGTCTGGGTTTTGCTCCATTTAAGAAAACTAAACTGAAATTTATTTATAGGCACTCTAACAAACACTTCACATGGATTATCTCACCGAACCCAATTCCATGAAGTAGATCCTATTATTGTCCCCATTTTACAGATGAAGAAACTGAGGTCCAGAGAGGCTAAGCAAGCTGACGGGGATTCACAGACAGGGCTAAGATTAGATAGATCCAGGCCAACTGATTACAAGCCTACTCTTGTGAAAGGTGGATGATACCACCTCTCCCAGATGTTGCTGGGATAAAGAAAACACATAGAAAATTAGCCCACACCCTTTTCTCTAGTCTCAGCTCTGGTATTAACTGTCTTTGCAACTCTGGACAAGTCATCTAATCTTTCTGGACCTCCAATTCCCTCTGTAATATGAAGGGTAGAAACAATTTGGATTGGATGTTCTCTGGGGTTCCTTCCAACTGTGAAGTTCTCTGATTCTATAATTGCATCCTGGCCTTGGAGGTGCACACGCCCCCCTCCCAAGGCAAAAAGCTAATCCTGTGGAAAGTGCCCATTGCAATTGGATTCTAAACTCAAGACCTCACCAAATCCTATTATTTATAGCAGCCCCTTAGGAACACACAACACATTTACAATCTGGCAAGCCAGTTATTTAAAGTAAGTGCAAACGGGGTATGATTTTTAGGAAGTAAAACACTAATACTGAAAGAAAAATGAAAAACTCAAAACAAATGAGGCTCTCTCTTTAAATCGTGTCTTTTCTACAGTGTTACCTTGACAACTTAGCTTCAGCTCTTCAGATGCTGGGTTCTCAGTGTGGGAGAAGAGGGTGGTCCTCTTGGTATCTTAAGAGATTTCCTCTTGTCTTATGGAAAAAGGAGATGTCAAGGGGGTACCTCAAAACCCGGCAGAATGTACTCAGGACATCTTGACGGAGCGTCATCCAGAAATAATCACAGGTGCACAGAATTAGGACGCATTCTGATGAAAGGAACATTCTTTTTCTCCTTTCTGTTTCCTGTCATCATAACACACATTGCAACAGCCTGTGCAATGTTACATTTTTGGACCCGTCCAGTTATAGAGCAGAGAGCAACGAAAGTGCCTAAAAAATAATTGTATTATTTTTAGTTGCAGGCACCACAGATGCACACATCAGGATGACGGGACAACTCTGAAGTATGGAGCTGGCCTGGAAATGCTAAAAATACTGTTCCCCCTCCAGCAGTTGAAATTTTGAGCACAGTCTCAGGCAGACCCATGTAGGGAGATCAAATTAGAATTCACATCTCTCAGCTGTAATAGGCTTGTTATCAGGACTGGCAAGAGCTCAGGAGGCTGACTGACGGGGGTCAGCCAGGACTGTGAGGGGCAGGAGTGAGCTGAAAAGGGGCAGTGTGGGGGCAGAAGAAAGAGAGGGCTCATCTCCAGCATCTAGCACCACAGAGCAGGGCCTGTGTGGAGAGTGGCTGAGAGACCCGAATGGGTTCTAGAAGTAGTCTCCTTTGTGGCTGGGAATGTGAGCCCAGCCGATGCCGTGAGCGTTGGTGCAGGGGAGCGAGTCCGTGCTTGACACACGTGTTTCCCATTGATAGCTGGAGACAGCCCAGTAGCTCCGAGTTGGCCTGACAAAGCCGTATTGAAGCACAGACAGAGTACAGTTTCAAAGCAGTCAGAAAAAGAACGGGAATGCTGTTCAGGAAATTCTTCAGGCATGGGCAGGGACTTGGCTGCAGTTCTGCAGTTGGAAAATCTGACTGGGGCAGCTTCTGAACACAGGCTGGGCCTGCTCACACTCAGCAGGCCGGCCGGCCGCCTCCTTCAGAGCCTCTCCGCACACTCCCAGACGGAGGGCGATTTTCACCAGCTGCCTTGTGAAGCAGAGAAGAGAGGTAGGGGACAGTTATATTCTCGCATGTCCATGCTTCTTTTCACTTTGTAAGCCTGCTGTTTGTTTGCACGTACTGAGTTTTCGAGTGTGTGTGTGTAAGTTAGAACGTCATCACTTAATCATTCGGTGTGGACTTGTAATCTTTTCTTTTCCCTTCAAGATCTGATTTTCAGCAAGGCAGAGACACTTCTGAAAGTTAGGATTTAGCTGGCAACACGATGTGAAAAGAAAAGTATGTGAACTTGTGTATTGTCACCCTGTTCCAGCCTTGTGGAACTTTTCTGTGTGTAAGGACAGTTCATTGGCAGGAAAGATAATTTTAGATGAAACTGTGTTCTTTGCTTCATAAGTATTTTGAAAGGAGCATTTTTAGCAGAAAACGGCTCTCGTTTTAGGAGGGAATCAGAGTTTGAAGTTTCTATTTTGGATTACACTTTCAGAGTGTAGGAGTAGATATGTATGTATGAGTTCCTGGCCTCTTTTATTATTATATGGATTCCGACAGTCATTAAGGAGTTCAGTGATATATTTGACTAGAAATATACCGGAACAACATTTGTAATTCTGTTTCTACAATTTCAATTTTTCTGAGTTGAAGTAGTAGCTGGCAGTTTTACTCTAAAAAAAAAAACACTTTTGTATTTTTATGAAATATAGACAACTAGAGTAACAGAAAATAGTCTACTCAAAATCATTGTTAAAAGATACAGCCATAATGGTGTGACTCTTATTTCATTGATCAATTGATCTTATTTTATACCTTACTGAAGAGTACTTTTTAAAAAAAAATCAGATTTTAAATAACTCTTTCTCACACATATCAGCTATAATGCAATATAGATTTTTACCCCCACTAGGAAAGCTATATATCTTATTACATGCTTAGCATTTAGAAAATGCACAAAATGAGTAATAGCATTTAAGAAGCTGGTTCGGTTCAGAAGGAGCTCAGCTAAATCTCACTACGGTTTTGTGTGTCCTGGCAGGGCAGTCAGTGACAACCGTGGTGTTTTCCAAAGGGGGTTTGGCCAAAAGTCTGGTTAGGAAAACGGATGAATGAATGGATTCTTGGATACTTCTTTAATAGCGGAAAAGTAGCTAGAGCTTTTAGGGTGGACCTCTATAAAAACAGGTGTGTGTTTACTTTAGTTCGAAAATCTCTCAACAAGTAGCTAATAGTAGAGAGAAAGATTAATGATGATTAATGGGTGAAGGAGGAGAGGAGTGTGGGTGTTTCTCATATATTCCTCTGTGTAAAACCTACGATGAGTGGGCAGACATTGTGTCCTGTTGGTATCCAGTTGGCATCTAGTCAGCACTTTTATTTTCTCCAGTTTTGCACTTGGAGGAAGGAATTTGGGAAATGACCTGCAACAGGTTTTTTTATTCTAAGAGATGGCACACGAAGCGTTTCTTCATCACCCTCATCTTTGTGTTGGGTTGGAATGGGGAGAGTTTGGGAACCGTAGGACATGAATAAGAAAGGGGGTGCAGTTGGAAGTCAGGATAAAGAGTGGCTACACTTTGTGTTTTTCCCGAGTGCCTACTGAGTGAGCAAAATGCCAAGACAGATTAGGAACAGACGTGAACCATAGCCAAGCCCACTGCCAGTAAAAAAAAGACGCAAGTGGGCTCTAATGTCACACTCCTCTAAATTTAGTGCGTGGCAAGCGCCGAGCAGAACAGGCGTGAAATGGCAGCTACAGGTTGTGAGATTACGAGCAGCAGTGCCTGAAACTTGGAAGAAACTCTATATAGTTCCCCTCTTTTAGAAGTATAGGAGGGAAAAACCAACCTCCTTTGACATTTTGAAAAGAAAAAATGGAGGGGAGGGTGGAGAAGGAACCAGGGCCGAGGCGCAGGCAACACAGAGAGGTGTGGCCAAACCACAGACTCGGCAGCCAGGGCAGAGGGGAGACGTCCGTGCCCAGGACTGAAACACATTCCAGAAACAGCGAAAACCAGCAGGCACTGAGTTGTTTGACTTGAAGTGTGTGGATAAACCATGGCCTCAGTGCAGTAAATTATTTTACCCTCTTCACAGTAGGAGACCCCGTGGTCAGGCTGGCCTGCTGTGCCTTCTGGAAGTAATCAGAAAGCGCATTTGGTAAGAATGGCATCGTCCGAGGGCTCAGATTTCCTAAGCAAGGACGGACCGGGCTCTGAAGGCCTTATTTTTAACTCATATTTGTTCTGTCCAGAGATATTTCTGCGGGGGGTGTTGAGTGAAGGCACCAGCTGGAGTTGGGTCAGCGATCGCAGTGAGCAAAGCTCATCCAAGGCTCTGCTCACGGTGCTTTGTTATTAAGACAAATTTTTGAAAAGGAATATAAAGTGCTGTATATGCTTTATTTTAATGAATGAATTTCTTTAAATTATATTTATATTATTTGAGAAACCGTCTCCGAAGGCATGTACCACATTGTTGGTGGATTTGTTTAGTATTTGTTTCATCATATAAGGAAGTTCATGGGATCATGGATTTCACCCTCTGGAAGGGGTCGGGCTATAGTAGTTCAGGATTTCTGGAGTTTGACTAATAGAGCAACCCCTTTTAACAGCAGTGGAAAAAAGATCCACACCTTGATTTTATTATTCTATTGTTATTTCAATATGTACAAACCAAAAATACTCACTTAGATATTATCTGTAGAAATAAAGATATTACCTATTTTAATCATTGTTGCACAGCTGTAACACTAAAACATTTATGAATTTAAATACAAAGGAAACTACGTAATAGTGATATTCAGATGATCAAAATTGGTTTCTTATGTAGAGAAGTTTACTAGAATTTAATAAAACTCACATCATGAACATAGGGCTGACAGTTATCTGGAGATTATTTTTATTTCATTGCAGTTGCACTCCTGCCTTTTGACAGACACTTGATTCTTCCCTAACTTTTTTCTCCTCACATCTGTTACTCGCACTTCTGCCATGATGCGCTTCGACCTGCACCTACAGGGAATGTGCCATTTTGTGTTACGGCACGCTTGCGTCCTTTCTCATTACCTGTGGCCGAATGGCATCCCTTGTTGCCAACAGGATCATACAGTGAATACAAACTCAGACACCAAAACTGTGTGGTAGTAGCCGGTGGTCATGACTCAGATCCACATTTTCTAGGACAGAATTTGCATAAATAACATAAGCACAACAAAAGCAAAGAAAAACACAAGAACAAACTGGGTAAAGAACTCTCAGATCTGGCGACGTGGGGACTCCCCCTTAAGAGACGCCGATCATGGCCCTTTCGGTTCCATGGAGAACCCCTGCAGGACCCTGGGGAGGGACAGCCCTGGCAACACTGCTCTGCGTTTCTGATGGAGGCCAGCCACTCTTATTTGTTGCGTCTGTTGGGGTTTTGCAAGATACTTTATTTGGAAAGACTTATAATGCCGTATTAGTGAAGATTACATTTGACGGTGAGTACCAGAAACCTGCGCCCACAGAAGCCTAAATGTGTAAGAGCTTACTTCTGCACATACAGATGAGGACCACACCTAGACAGTCCAGGACAGTAGTAGCAGATGAGCAGTGTCCCTGAGAGCTGCCTTTCTGTCCCACTGTCCTCAGCCCTTGAGCTCAACTCCCCATGCTCATCTGTGTGTGTCATGTTCAAGTCAGGGCAGTGGTGGCAGGACTTGAAGGTGATAAGTATTTCTCCTCGTCGGCCTTTGCCCTTTTCACCACAGAGGGATGCCTTCCCATATAGACTTCCCCTAATGTCTCAGAATACCCAGCCAGCACTGGGTCATGTGTCCTCTGGTCCCATTGAATGATATTACCATGAGAGATTTAGGCCAATCAATTATGTTTCACTCTCTGGGTGTGGAGTAGAAGCCCACAGATTCAGATCAAGGGCTTTCTGCCTAATAAGGAGCATACCAGAATTCTGATAGCAGTGAACAGCAGGGAGGGTGTCCGTGGGATAAGCATGGACAGTTTTGGCCACAAATGCTTAATTTAAAAAAAAAAAAAAAAGAATGAATGTACAAGTACATTTGAAAAACGCTGCTCTTATAACCCGTTTCCTCCATTTTAAAGAAGTAGCCACTGAGACCAGAAAAGATACGTTACCTGCCTGAGATGGCAATGCTTCTTGTTCTTTGAGTCTGAGTCCAGCGTGGACGACATGTTATATGCATTGGCTTGGTCACAGCAGAGTGATGCTTCGGAAGCCATGCTAGAGAAAGTAACATTGCAGTGGAATCCTACTGTCAGAAGGTCCCTCAGAAATTACCTGGTCCCGTGGTTTCTCAAAACCTCCTGAATCAGCATTTCTGAGATTAGAATTAGGGAATTGCTATATTTTTAAAAGCTCCCTGAGTGATTCTGTTGAAGCCAGTAAGACACTGGTCCATAAACTGAGTTTGTTTAATGTCATTATGGCTAAATCATTATCCACTGCAGGGTGCCATTTGTAGCGTTGTTCACAGACGTCAGCTAGATGTGATGAAGGAGAATCTCCCTACACTGAGGCAGCTGGGAGCGCTCTTTCTCATCTCAGGCCTCCTCAGATTGGGCCAAATTCATGTCTCTGTACTTCGTAACCCATGGCCACGGCCTCAGCCACATCTGAGGTTGGTAGTGGAATTGGTGCAGAACTGAGGTAAAGACGAGGGAGTAAAAGTAGAGGTGGTCAGAAGGTGGGCATAGGTTACTGGTAGCTGGATCTCAGTTTTCCCATCCGGGAAATGGGATCAGATTTTTCTATTTCTCATAATCTATGGTTTTTATAATTCTACCGCTCTCCTAGGTCTTTATGAATGACTTAGTTGATTTATTGTACCTATTCCTCATCTTTTCCCGTACTGTTCTCTTTTCTCTAAACACATTCCAGCTAACCACCTCTGACAAAAATACGGTTCCCTGCTCTCAGTTGCAGTCATCTGACAAGTGTATCGGGCCATGTGCCCACTGGCCCCATGGAATGATGTTACCATGATAGGAATGATGTTACCATGAATAGGACACCATGCATCTATTAACCCAAAGGGAAGAGGGTAATTGTAAGGGAGAAAGCAAAACAAGAAAGAAGAATGGGAGGTGGGAGTGATCTTGCAGCATCAGAAGAGTGATTATATTATAAACTGAGCCCAGGCTCCAAGGCAGACAAGCCTGGACTGTGAGCCTGGCCATATGACCTTGGACAAGTTGCATCATCTCCATGTACCATAGTTGTATCGTTTTAAAAATGGACATGGTAGTATCTACCTTATAGTGTGGTGTGAAATTTGCGTGTAACACACTTAGCACGGTGCCTCGTGCACAGTAAGGAGGTAAGTATTTTAGCTATATGTACTTAAAGTTAACCGAGCTAGCATGAGCCACACTGACAATGCAATAGGCAGATCAAGATACAATGAAGTCTTAAGACAATCAGCAGAGGAGAGAATGTTTCACACGGAATCATCCAGGTTACTTTTTCTGTGTTGCCTACATTTCTATGCAGATTCCCTGTCCTCTTTTCTTCACCTTTGCAGCTACACGAAAAGGTGATCATCTTCATTATATTGGGTTGTCGGAAAAGTCATGATGCACTTTTGCAACGAAAAACATAGAAAAAATACATCATGACTTTTCCGACAACCCAGTAGCTTCACATTCTTGTTGCCAAGTGTGAAACCACCTATGTAAAGGAAGCCACAGAAGCTATGGCCCGGGGCTTGTCATTCAGACAGGTCGGCAGGACTGGGTGAGGGATGGGTCACCACGGTTCACTAAGTGAGCAAGTCCTGCGAGGTCAGTTTGCTTGGAAATCTTGGCTGGTGGTTTTCCTGATGGAGCTCTGGATGTGGCTGGGTGTGGAACAATGGCTTTATTCTCCTTTGGAAACCAATAACGCGATGACACCTATTTAAAGCAAGCGCAGCTTGCAGATGGAAACTACACTGCTGGGGATTAGAAGCCCCCTCTTTGTTCAAACCGTTTTCTCTGGCCAGGGTGAAGGGTCAGACTCTTGTCAGCACCCTGACTTCCGAGTGATACATGTCTGAGTTTCTGGAACCCTGCAGTTACTTGCTGGGGTTGAGGGATTCGGCCACTAAAACTGCTCTCATTGAGCTCAAGTAAACAAGTACCAGGGTTCGCGCCTTCCTCCAGACAGCTCATTCAGCACCACCCTGTTGTCTTAATTCTGGTTGGGGTTGTGATACTGGGCATGGCGCGTTCCATGAAAGCAGACTGCTTAACGCCAGAGACAGCTGATCCTTTCTTGCCTGTTCTTACCTCCTGCCATCTGTCTTGTTCTGTACTCCTTCTGCCCTTTCCCTCTATTTTTTTATTCTGTTCCATCTTCCTGTTCCCAGTTTTTCTGTTGTTTGTTTAGTATGTGTTTACCAGTCACCTGCTTCTCTCAGTGGTCAGGAGTGTTGGTACTAGACCAGAGTCTGGACAGCATAGCTTTGACCATGTGATGACAAACATTAACTCCTAAAGTTGTGAACGATTTGTGGCCTCAGTGCTGGGTCACATGCCCAGTTGAGTTTCCCAGGCAGAGGCTGCAAACAGCAGGTCCCAGGCTGGCAATCCAAGGGCTGGCCCATGGGCACGTTTTGGTTCATAGTGTGTGTGTTGTTTTTTTATTAATTGACTTAGTTACAAAGTATTTGAACACACTAAGAGATTACGTACAAATCTAGATTATCCAGAAAAAGCTGGAGATGGGCCTCCCCGGTCTGATTTCTCACAGCATGGCAGTTGGTGGGATCTGGGCAGCTCCTGTTCCTCTGAGTGGGTGTGTGTCCGTCCATCCTTCTCTGTAGGTGTAGCCATTAGTAAGCTCTCAATAGGGTTTCTCACCTGAACCTCAGAATGTAGAAAATGATTCGAGTGCCCATTTGTTCAGTTGTTTCAAGGCTGATACATATAGTACCATTCTAGATGCATAGGAGAGTAGGGCATTATGACTTGACTCTCTCAGGGGACAGTGCTGAGGTGACGTAAGTCTCTACTGAGAAGAAATGCAGTAGGCAGCATGGTGGCCAAGAGCCCGCGTCTCAGAGTTAGAGATTCCTGGGAATACTCACATCATACGATTGTACATAGGATTAAAAATGTTAAATGTCATAGAATCCAGAATAGTCACTGCCTCTGGAGATGGGGGTTGATTAGGAAGGGGTATGAGGGAACTTTCTAGGTGATGGAAATATTCGCAGTCTTGACTGAATATTGTTTATACATGTGGACAGATTTATAAAACTCGAGCTGGGTAGTTAGGATCTGTGTATTTCACTGG